TTATGTACTGTACTTCAACTAAATAGTTTTATACTGGGATCTCCAGAAATTTGAGCAGTGCTTACCGCCTTCCAAAACCAATTTCCATGGGGAAACCTTTCTTTGAACAAAGTTCAAATGCATTTTTCCACTAACGGCAGCACTTCATATGTCCGGTACACGTACACAATCCTGCTGAAATAGAAGCATTAAGTTTTGTTTTGTTTTTTTTGTCTAAATGATGCTATTTTTGCACACACGCATCAGTAATTGAAACTGCTGGCTGCTGTTAGTGTTGTGTGCACTGTGGTTCACTTGTAGGCCACTCACTTACTACACTGTGGTTGCAGTGTTTCAGTGGAGTATAATGCAGAGTTTTGCTGGCATACACAGAGCAAAATATAAGAAGTGGATCAGGCTTTATATAACTGAACAGTCCCTCCAAACTGCCTGGATGTCCTGATGTATAAATTGACTCCTGACAGGTTATTTTTATTTAATTACCTGTAATTAAGTGCAGGTGTATGTAGGTTGTCAACCCATATATGTGCCATCCTAACATACCCTGTGTTGGGACCATGGGTTAAATGAATGGTCTCTGTGTAATTTCATCTGTTTAAACTAACAGATGAAAATACCAAAGGTGAGTAGGATTAAATGTAACAACGAGGTGACCGGATGAACCAAAGTTTGGAAACATACCTCAAGGCAACATTGTTTTGGGCTGTAACCACTCCTGAATGCCCAGATGTTGGAATGTGCTGTTCCAAATAGGGATGAAACGATTACCGGTTTAACGGTAAACCATGGTAAAATTCCCGACGGTTATTATTACTGTACACATTTAAATTACCATGATAACCGGGTACGGTTAACTGCGCTGTTATAATCTCACAGCAAACACTGTCCAGCGTCTCCCAGACTTACGCGCAGAATGCAACATGGGTTTGTTTGGGTCAATGACAACACGGCGGAAGACAACGCTGCGGAGATTCTTCAGTCTCTGACGTCCGGTTGTGTTTTAGTTTTTTATGAGAAAATAACCTTTATAGTGAACGCAGGGTGAGTAACTTTTAGCTTTGCTTTGTCTCTCTGACTTGCTAACAGCGTGTAAACTGAAGCTCTCAGTGTTGCTGCAATTGGAAAAACGCTACACTTTGTTCTGTTGCTGTGTGCGTCGTGTGTCGGCAGAGTCTATTCGTCCACTGCACATGATAACACGTTACGCAGTTTAGTCAACCAACCAGCATCATCTAGAAACGCCACAGACTCCTCTGTATTTACAGTGGGTACGGAAAGTATTCAGACCCCTTTAAATTTTTCACTCTTCGTTTCATTGCAGCCATTTTCCCAAAATCAAAAAAGTTCATTTTATTTCTCAGTAATGTACACTCAGCACCCCATCTTGACAGAAAAAAACAGAAATGTAGAAATTTTTGCAAATTTATTAAAAAAGAAAAACTGAAATATCACATGGTCATAAGTATTCAGACCCTTTGCTCAGTATTTAGCAGAAGCACCCTTTTGATCTAATACAGCCATGAGTCGTTTTGGGAAAGATGCAACAAGTTTTTCACATCTGGATTTGGGTATCCTCTGCCATTCCTCCTTGCAGATCCTCTCCAGTTCTGTCAGGTTGGATGGTAAATGTTGGTGGACAGCCATTTTCAGGTCTCTCCAGAGATGCTCAATTGGGTTTAAGTCAGGGCTCTGGCTGGGCCATTCAAGAACAGCCACGGAGTTGTTGTGAAGCCACTCCTTCGTTATTTTAGCAGTGTGCTTAGGGTCATTGTCTTGTTGGAAGGTAAACCTTCGGCCCAGTCTGAGGTCCAGAGCACTCTGGAAAAGGTTTTCGTCCAGGATATCCCTGTACTTGGCCGCATTCATCTTTCCCTCGATTGCAACCAGTCGTCCTGTCCCTGCAGCTGAAAAACACCCCCACAGCATGATGCTGCCACCACCATGCTTCACTGTTGAGACTGTATTGGACAGGTGATGAGCAGTGCCTGGTTTTCTCCACACATACCGCTTAGAATTAAGGCCAAAAAGTTCTATCTTGGTCTCATCAGACCAGAGGATCTTATTTATCACCATCTTGGAGTCCTTCAGGTGTTTTTTAGCAAACTCCATGCGGGCTTTCATGTGTCTTGCACTGAGGAGAGGCTTCCGTCGGGCCACTCTGCCATAAAGCCCCGACTGGTGGATTGCTGCAGTGATGGTTGACTTACTACAACTTTCTCCCATCTCCCAACTGCATCTCTGGAGCTCAGCCACAGTGACCTTTGGGTTCTTCTTTACCTCTCTCACCAAGGCTCTTCTCCCCCGATAGCTCAGTTTGGCCGGACGGCCAGCTCTAGAAAGGGTTCTGGTCGTCCCAAACGTCTTCCATTTGAGGATTATGGAGGCCACTGTGCTCTTAGGAACCTTAAGTGCAGCAGAAATTTTTTTGTAACCTTGGCCAGATCTGTGCCTTGCCACAATTCTGTCTCTGAGCTCTTCAGGCAGTTCCTTTGACCTCATGATTCTCATTTGCTCTGACATGCACTGTGAGCTGTAAGGTCTTATATAGACAGGTGTGTGGCTTTCCTAATCAAGTCCAATCAGTATAATCAAACACAGCTGGACTCAAATGAAGGTGTAGAACCATCTCAAGGATGATCAGAAGAAATAGACAGCACCTGAGTTAAATATGAGTGTCACGGCAAAGGGTCTGAATACTTATGACCATGTGATATTTCAGTTTTTCTTTTTTAATAAATTTGCAAAAATTTCTACATTTCTGTTTTTTTCTGTCAAGATGGGGTGCTGAGTGTACATTACTGAGAAATAAAATGAACTTTTTTGATTTTGGGAAAATGGCTGCAATGAAACAAAGAGTGAAAAATTTAAAGGGGTCTGAATACTTTCCGTACCCACTGTATGTCAGTTTTGGGGTCTCACTGCAGTTACTATCACTGTCATCTAAAGACTTGTTTGTTTTCATGTAATTGTCCACGGGGTCATTATATTACTTATTTAATATAAAATATAAAATCTTAATAATGCACATTTAGATGATTTTCATATGTTTACAAACGGTATTTGCTGTTTTATTTTTTATGCAAACAAAATGGCAATTGTATTTGTAGTTTTCAATATAAAACTTGTTGAAATGGTTTCAGTGTTTGTATCAGTACATTTTAATATTTTTTGGCACATTTTTACAATACCGTGATAATACTGATAACCGTGATAATTTTTGTCACTATAATCGTGATATGAAATTTTCATACCGTTTCATCCCGAGTTCCAAACATGGTTTGGATAATGAGAACAAGTTATTGAAGTTCAGTGACCAGTGAGTGTCCATCAGTGCACAGATGTGAGAATTATTGTTATTTACCTGGGGAAAAAAGCTTTTGTTTTTAATGAGATGTCAATCTGTTTTGCCCCAGAGTGTTGTAGTAAAGTTTGGGACAGACATGTTTGGCTTAAAGTGCGTTAAAATCAAATCAGTTTCTTTTTCATCTGATTCAGTTATCTTGTTTTTTGCATTAAAACAAAATTACCTAAAATGTATTTGTTGTGATACCAGGCAACTTTCATTTTATGTTTTTCATTGCACATCTGCAAGTAAAGTAGAGTGAATCCTCTGTTAGATGCCACAGTTGTACAAAGTGAGGCATTTATTTTACACCTATGGACATGCCACAGAATTCTGCTAATCCTGTATGACTGCTGATTGCCGTACTTGCAGGGACAGTGGTGCTCAATGCATTATTCCTCTCATTGTGCTCTATATAGGAAAACCTTGTCATTAGAGGCCTTTATTTCAAGTGCCTTCCCTACTGTCGTCTGCCTAACCGATGTATAATTAACCACCAGAACAATTGTCACAAATTGTGCAAATGTCAAAATATCCTGAAGGGCTTACACTTGTAGCATCTAATAGTAGTTGGGCAGAGCTGAGAAGATAGTAAAGCAAAAGCAGGTTCAGTCTCGCGGCGTGTTTAGATCAGAATCATCAGGAAGGCAGCTTAGTACTTGGACAGAGATTGTTAACTTGGGTGTTGTGTTATGCAAACCAGTGTAGCAACAGTTGTAGGTAATGCTGTTACATCAGTGGACTTAAAATATATCTTTATGTTTTAGCTTAGTGATATGACACTGCACATTTCTGTTTATTTAAAAAAACAAAACAAAAGAGAAAATGGTAATGCCGCAACACTATGCTCTTTTGTAGCACTTCTAAAACAGGGTGCCAAATGTACATTATCATGGAACTCACGTACAAATGGAAACACACTTTTAAAAAAATCCAAAATGGAAGCCATGAATTTCATTGTGAAAATCAAGAGATTTTAGATGTGGATTTTGAGCTTTGGGGACCCAAAACAGCATAAAAATTATGACTGTCAGAAATTTTAGGACAGAAGTCCCATAATGCAACATTTACAAACCAAAAAATTTGAATACGAGGTAATGAACCAGAATACACTGGCAAGCTAGCATAATACTACTGCTAAAAATACAGTTACCTTCAAGCGTTACGCTGACGTATTTGCAACAGAAGTACGTTAGGTCTGTAAGTGGGAAGAGAGCTGAAGGGGGCCGATTCAAGTATAATTAAAATGGCGAAATAAGAAACAATTTAGCAGTTAGCAAAAAATACAGATGTAAATTTTATATCGGTATTCAGCCTAACAGTACCAGGATATGACTTTTTGGTCCATATCGCCCAGCCCTAACACACACTATTAGAACATTTTTTTACTCTGCAAAATTGTGCATACAGCATTATTTGCTGTCTTGACACTTTGTTTTAACCAATAGGAATATTCATTGTAACTGAGGAAACATCTACAAGTTGAAAACATTTAATATTTGACCACATTTTTTCTTTCCTTTCAGTGAGGATAGGTGGCTGCTGTTGGCATTTTATTGTACTTCTCAGTCAGGCTTTTCACAGTCTCTGTGAACTTGGTACATTATTATTTGCTGTTACTGAAGATGTCTTTCCTTCTTCTTGTGTTTTGTTGCAGGGACCAGTTATTCTCCACAAGAAAATTCTCACAACCACAGTTCCCTTCACAGCTCCAACTCACATTCTAACCCCAGCAAGACCTCAGACACAGTAAGTGTTGCCTCTGCCATAGCATGGATGATGGCCTAAACGTACCTTTTTCCAGTACAACTGCCTGGATTGTTTGCTCGTTTTAGGTTTTGTTGTGTATTCTTGATGGAAAAACATTAAACACACCACCTTTTACCCTCATTCAATGTGATTCGTCAATGATAAAGAAGGCAACATTACAATGCTAATGTTAAAACAGACAAAAACAAGGTCTATATAATCTTTACGTGAAGCACTGCACCACCAAACCGTGATGTAGTTTTAAGGCCAGTTTATACTTCTCCGTCGAATCTACACCCTAGGTACACTGTAGCCTACGCATAGCCACGTGCCCTATGCTGTACTCTACGCTGTAGCCTGACATGCACTTACCCAAAGATGTAACTACATGTCGCGGCATTGCAGAACACAAGAAGTGTGATTGGTCGGCTTGGTAGCACCGCATTTCCTTCAACCCCTCACGCCGTGCACCGTGCTTTTAAGCCAATTTAGCTAGTGGCCAAACCAGACATTTTCCCATAGACTTACATTATGAAAGAAGCGGCTGTAAAATGGTGGATACTCTACTTTAGTCTTAAATTTCAAAGTTTAAGGCCTTAAAGTCTTAAACTCACTGAAGTTTGTGTTGTAGGTCTTAAATAATTTTTGAACAGGTCTTCATTTTCCAACATCCATGTAACGCTACTGCTCACTAAAATGCTTCCGCAGCGCTTTAGAAGCGTTTTTTTCCTCCCGTGGTGTAGTTCTTTCTTTCGCTAGTCCAAATAGAATTCGCTGTATTATGACTACAAAGACCAACATGCAGCTGTCATTGCTGCGAGTGTCTTTCGGATTATACCACAGATTAGAAAACAGATTTATTCTTCAGCTGTGCGAAAGTGCAACCTGTGACCCTTGCCTGAAAGAAACCTTGCTTAGGGTTTTTTAAAACTAGTCTCTAGCAACATATTTGAAGCCTACTGTCGCTTCTTAATGAATGAGCGCCACTACTAAAATTTCACACGATCATTAAAGATTTTCAACGCGGTAACACTGAACGCATGGCTGTGTCCCTCTCCTTCTTCAAAGGATGAGCGAATGTGAGAGAGAGAACATCGAACATCATCAAAGTGGCGGTGAAAGTTAGCGGAGGAAAAGATCAGTATTAAGTTGTCAGGTTACAGCTCTGTCCTGTACTGTACATCTTGATAGTTAAATTATAAAGAAAGGACAGTTGTGACCACAGAGGAGGTGAGGTTGGTAACAATAAAGCAACTTAGGGATGTAAACTAGTGCTTTTAAGCTAATGAGGACATTATTCTTTTGGATTTTGATGCACAAATTAAATGCTTCTAATACAGAAGGGAGGTGGTTCTCATGTTGCCTATTTTTGTTGATGTTAATTTCTACAAATGTATAAAGCAGTAAATTAAGACACAAAAGGCAAACATGAACAATCTAATGATTCTGAGGTCACATTAACGGTGTTTTCCTGCCATTATAAGGTGGTGATGCTTAAAACAGCTTGGTGCTGCGCCATGAATGTAAAATCATTGTGGAGAGCATCAAAACTAACCAAATGACTTTCCCCAGACCAAATGGTTATAATTCAAACCCAGTAGACTTATTTAACAAGTTAAGCTTTTTGGGTATAGTTGATTTAAAATCTGCTCTAGATTTTCCTACTTATCATTCACAGATGTGTTAATAACAGTGTTCCAAAATTATGTGGAATTGCATATTTCTTTATTGGAAAATGTAAACATTTTCTTGGGGGATGACCCCCAAACCCCCAAAACAAAAATACCATCTTAATTGTTTTCATTATACCCCCCTGTGAAAACAAGTTTGAATCCCAATGGACATCATTTTTATTATTTGTAAATGTACCTGCTTTGCACCTGCATCGACTTCTCTTCCCCTTGGACTCACTCACACACCTTTACCTCTGGACTCTCATTGCAAACACAATGTCTTTCCCCACCTCTCTCAGTCTCTCTCTCTGAGTTTCTCCATCAGCAGTTATGTTTTATAAAGACACAGAACATGTGTTTTTTTCTGGATTTCCACCCGTGATCCTTTTCACGGCAGCAGGTGCTCTGCATGCCAGCTTGTTAATTACGTAGCTTATCAGTGTCATCGTCCATCCCGGTGTTTCATTGTTGACAACGTCCAATGCCAATTTTGTAGACCTCACCCAACCCTAATTTGAATACATGTATTTACTCTGCAAGTAATTTTGTGACTGCATTTCCTTTGTATGTTTTTTTTTTTTTTTTTTGATGTTGCAATATAGATCTTACATTTCGTATACAATATGATATAAAAAGGTCTTAAAAAGTCTTAAATTTGACTAGGTGAAACCTGCAGAAACCCTGAAATATGAATGCTCATGATGGCATGGTTGCATGTGTAGTTACTCCATTATCTGTGTGCTGATAATCTGTGTATTGCCATAGAGAAGGATCCGTGAAACTGTATTTCTGAAGTGATTTCTGTTTGCTATGGCTTCAATAAGTTAAATTTTTTATTCTTTGTCATTTGCTATGCAATATTGACTTAAACAACACGATGAAAGTGAAACAATATGATGTGATATCACTGCATTTTATCACATCAGTGTGTAATGGTGACAGAATGCAAGAAATGAGCACAACCTGTGCCCCAGTCAGAATACTATGTCCTTTTTTAAATAGCGAACTGTCTGACTTTGGTTACCTTAACAATCTTGAGCTGTCTGTGAAATGAGCCTTCCCTCACACTTCGAAGCTTCTGTGAAAACAGGCCAGCTATAGCTATCTTCTATCCCCAATATCGCTCATGCATTTCAGATTACATTACAAGTTCTTGCATCAGATTCCCTCAACACACGCACACAGACACAGACAGTCTGGCTGGCCTCATGTTCCTAAATATTTACTCCTTTTCTCAGCCTTATGAACCTGGTGATGACTGGTCAGAGCACATCAGCTCGTCTGGAAAGAAATACTACTACAACTGCAGGACAGAGGTGTCCCAGTGGGAGAAGCCTAAAGAATGGCTGGAGAGGTAGCTATAATCCCTTTACCCAAAACACTTGATTGTACACACTTAATTTTAGTCGGTGTCACATAAAAGTTGGATACATGGCTAATATCTGTTTGTGTTTCACAGAGAACAGAGGCAAAAAGAGGCAACAAAGACTGCGGTTGTCAACAGTTTCCCCAAAGACAGGGATTATAGAAGGGAGGCTATGCAAGCAACAGCAGCCCCTGGCTTTACTGGTGCTAGTAAGTGTTAAATATGCTATTACAACATACATTGTCCTCACCAGTCCGTCTACATTTTGTTGCTTAGCTGGCCCAAAATATCAAGGATGTGTGTTTACCATCTCTACTTGAAGGCCTTTAGCTTAAGCATTGTTGTTGTTGGTTAGTCAATGATGACTATTGTTGAGCTGACCTTTGGCTGATGAATGTTAAGGAACTGCTTAGCAAAAGACTACAAATGGCTGAACCATGAATGCTGATGTGGCTTAAAGCAATGTACTGTAGCCGTGCAGTAAAACTAAGCTGATCGTCCCACTGGTGGAATCACAATGGACAAAATCCATTACAGTCTTAGCCAGTTAGTATTGACAGTTTTTATGCACAGATTCAGTACAGTTGATCACGTGTCTGAGCAGGAGAAGAAATAAAACGGCAAGCCAACAGTAATATATCAAGTGCTATGAATAACATTTGTATAATAATCCAGATTTAGTATTTTTCCTCAGTTCCTTTGTATCAAAATACAGAGAGATCCACCTGAAACCATTTGCCATAATAGTTTAAGATACAGTTTGCATGGAAAAGGCAATCATATGAGAAATTCTAGTTGTAGTCTGCATCACTGCCGCCGCTGGGTAACAAACTAGGGTAGTGTATTTGCTAAGCTAGGCTTGGAACAAGCCTCATAAAAAACGTATGTTGTACAACAGCCCTAGAGCTGGCAAAAGTCCGCTGGATGGGAGCTCTGGGTGCAGACAACATGGAATGAAGGTAACCATTGTTCATTTGCACATACTACCCACATTGTAATGATACCAAGCTGGCTGAAAATCGGCAGTTTCCCTTTAAGGTAGTTTGTGTATTCACTAGTGTAGAGTATTGCGTCACAGCAGTCACTTAAAATGAAAGATTCCTTCAAGTACAGCTGTCTTCTCTGTTGTTGTTGTTGTTATAAGACCTAATCACCCAAGGCTGCTACGAGGCAAGTCCAGGCAAAAAATGCAAAAGTTATTGTAGGCTTGCCAAATCTCAAATGTCAAATCTTTAGTATGTAGTAGAAGACCGTTCTCGTGGACACGTGGAGGGCAGCTTGCCCGTAGCATCAGCTATTAAATAGTATGGGTGTGATGAGATCTTGTGCCAAGAGATTAAAACGTGACGAATCTCGTCAGGTTAAATGTTGTCTTGTGAAACTCAGTTGATACATTTCACATGCGGTCACGCCAAAAATCAATTTTCTCACTCAGCGAAAAACTAATTTATAACTGATAACGTCACTCACGGAGTGAATCAACTCTGCCCTGCTGATGCAACACCGGCGTACGACATGATAGTAATCATGTGAACTTGCTCGTGCTGTGAGTTGCAGCCAGCTTGTGACGTAGTGGTAATGTAGCTGGTAGAGTTTTGCAATACAAACATCTAAAAACTGAGCTGCAACCTTGCTCTGATCAGAGGTGCTGAAGTGTGTGGGTTTGTTGTGAGATTTCTGCCTGTTGTTGGTTTCCAAACATTCTGAAGGGGGATACTACCAGCGGAGCAATAATGCACAGCAGAGTATAGGCCAGGTATTTTGATTACTTATTAAAGGATTCCTTATTAAATGATGATGCTATTCTAGTAATATACTGATGACTTACTGAAACAGAGGAGCTATTTATTATTCATTTATCAATGAGGTGAAAAGATGCCACAATCGCATTTAAAGAGGTTAAGGTTTAAGTTTTTCCTGCAGAATAACTGACACTACCCACACAGCCATGAAGTCTCTGGCATCTGCCGATGTGGTTGCTTTTAAGAGGTTGTTGGAGTTGTGAGCTTTTTTGCTAGCGTGCTGACTTTGATATAATGGTGTGTGTGCAGTGCGCTGAGCCCCGCCCTCAGTGAAGCCCTCTGTGAAGAAAACGCTTATAACGCTAGGGAAACCCCCAATATTTTCATAAATTGCATCCACATTTTGGCAGATTCCATGATATTACGTGTTGTACAGTTCCATTTATATTATCAAATTCCGCTATTTCATTTGTGTTTTCGGTATAGCGGAAATCAAAGGGCCCGTCAGGGGGGGGGGCTCTGTTTATATGGAGCAAATTACGTTTTCTATTTTCAGTTAAATGTATTACACACCAGTTGCCAGTGACTGCTTTACAATAATTGTTAGATAACGTAAAACTTCAATTAATAGCCGAGTCCCAAATAGCCGCCTACCTCCTTTATAGCTGCTTCTAAGCTGCTTAGATCGTTAATACAAAAATTAATCTTTAAACGTATGATCAATATGTCAATATGGACCTGCTGAACATCGTTAGTAAGGGTGCTCCGATCGATCGGGTAACGATCATAATCGGCCGATAATGGCTTTAACTAGTTTGATCGGTGGTTGCTGAAATGCCGATCAGATGATGCAGTATTCACCAGACAAATTTTCAACGGCAGCTAAAATGTTTCACTGCGCTGTTTTCAAAGCTAGCTTGCACCAAAGTCCTTCTCAGACAAGAAGGGATTAATGTGCCCACATAATCATTTATAATTAGAGTTATCAGACAAGTGCAGCAACACGCAGGAGCGATCATGTGAAACTGCCGCTGTCTGTGCTCATCTCACTCACACGCCACCCGCAACCTGAGTTTAATAGACACAGCGCATCAGGCAGAGAGAGAGACTGATCCTTCAGTGTCAGTTTCCTGATGCAAAGAGCGGCGCCACTCAATCAGCTGACAAAACAGAGGACTTTATAAAACGATGACACACACTCATATTTGGCTTTGTGAGTCGGTCTTATCTGTCATTCAAAGCAAAAACACGCTGCTTTAAGGAGTTTTAGTTTTGGTATTTTTATTAAAATATAAGTACTTTGTAAATAACCCTTAACCGTTAGCCTAGCCTACTGTGCATGTCGCTGTATTTACTTTGCGACAACTCCCAGTCTGTTTTCAGCCGCCGTCTTTCAGTAACAGTTCCACTTCGTTGTCGGTCAATGCAAAAAAAAAAAAAAAGAAACAAATCTGGTGTGGTTCTTGGTCTGTATTAATTTCTTCTTTCGCTAAATCGTCTGCTACAGCAGAGTAGACCATGTGCTTCATGTTTACACTGGCACGCGCATGCCCAGTGTAGCTACCTGAACGGCCACTAGATGTGTTTTCAGTCGTTTTAATATAAACAGAGATCAACTCTGATACGCAGCTGAAACGCTGCTGTGGACGGAGAAGATCGTTTTCGTTATAAAACTGTTTTAAAAACGTAGCAGTGTGGATGTAGCCTCACATTACCACACTCCTCTCTCTACTCCTCATGTCAACTCTCCCGTTTCCCCGAGATTCACATATTTATATATATCATTTTCGTAATTTTCTGTTCTCACCCGGTATCCACCCGTTAAATGTTTCACTGTAAATCTCCCGTATTTTTAACCTTTATGAAATCAAATAAAAACCTTGTTTGCTACTCTCCCTCTGGTAAAGTCGGTGGCAGCATGTAAGATATGTAGACTGTGCTTCTTGCACAAGGATAAAAAATGAAAACAATCCACTGAAATGATATAAGGCCTATAGCCTACAAACCATAGAAAATTATAATGAATATAGTAGCCTATGTAATAACAATTGACTGTATAATATGGAATTTACATTGTAGCCTATTTTTATTTATTTAAATTTTCCTTGCTTTCAAATCTCACTGAAGGCAGTTTTGACTCCTCTCTGTAGCCCTTCTCCCTCTCTCTGCTCCTCTCTCTCTCTTAAAGCCCACAGAACCTGCCTGAGCTTTCCAGAACCCTGGCTACAGCCTTTTTTTTATGGTTTTTATGGTTGTAGTAAATTTATAAAGATGCTGTTTGTTCTGTTTTTGTAGTTATTCCGCAGTAAAGCTATATTTGTTAAGCTATAAGATGTTCACAGTAACCAGGCAAAGGCTGCTATGGTTTAAGTCTCTTACACAGATTGAGTGGAATTTGTTGCCCATGTTTACTAGCAATAACATAAACAGTTGTCATTTCATGATACTTTATCATCTGTTAACTTTAACACTTAATACATTGTTTTTAGGACCAATTAAATAAATATACTGTATAATGCTACATGATAAATAAAAGGCTCCAAATAGACCCGGAGATCGGTATCGGCTGATACTGCTTTCAGCAATTGGTGATCGGCCCAAAAAATCCTGATCGGAGCACCTGTAATCGTTAGATCGGTTAGATTCTCCACAATACCACTGTTAATTTAACGGAAACAACAAGACACAAAGTCTAATTCTTCTAGATTTACCGGTGTAACCTGTGTGGGTACAAGAGAGGAAAGGGGGGGGGGGAGTGCTGACTCATGTTAACTTTGAAGCGCTTGTTAAGTCCGAATGTGTCCGTTCCTTGATTATTTATATTCCTTTAGTCTGTAAGGGTCCACCGATCAAAAGAATCAAAACAGCTTTTCAGAAAAATTTACCCAAGTTGTGAATCCTGTCAGTTCATCGCTCTCTGACTGCTAACATCTCTCATCCTGCACCGTGTTGTTGTTGTTTTCGTTAGGTTGCTGTCTTCAAAATAAAAGCGCATAAGCCGTCTGTCGGAGCTAGATCAATTGAATGACGTGTATTTGATCATTTTTACATAAGTATTATTCTGTTTGAAATAAACTGTTTCATAGTATTCTTTCAACTTAAACAAATTCTTCAACAACAACAATCCATTATATCACAAAATGTGGAAAAGGTCAGTGGTCCCATGTATAAAAGACTGCGCAGCTTTCATACTGGTGTAGTCACAAAAATTTAGTGCATACACTTAAATCTCCACATGTATGAAACTGTGGGCACCTTTCCTATATGGATCCCAATCAGGGAACTTTTCCACTGGCAGCTGCTGATGCATCAGTTTTATGTTTCTTACTGTTGTTGTGCAACTTCAAAGTTTCAAGCTTAAACTGTAATGACCCGGTGACGAGTTCAGTGTTGCCTGCAATGGACGCATTGCCTACAATATAAACACAGGATTCCCCTCGTACTGCAACCACCTGCCCCCGTCCTGGCTCTGGCTAAATCTAAATCCATCCACTACCTGGAGGATTAACTAGTATAAATGTGTGTATTTGTATTATAACATTAAATAAAAAATGTAATAGTATCCTGTTAGTGTGAGATTGATTATAATTTCCTATATTAGTATACTATGTAGCTTACCACTAGTATTATATTTGTTAAAATATTTCAGTTACAGTAGTTTAATTTTTATGGGTAGTTTTCATTCACTAAGTGCTTGTACAAGATAAATGTTGTACATGGTGGTTGAGTTACACTCTGATAATGCTAAGTGATAATTCATCAGTCAAAACCATTCATGCAGATCGAGTTACACATTTGAATGTTTGCTGTAGCACGTCAACTGTTACGTTTTTTTATTATGAGCTTCTCAAGCTGCAGAGCTACCTGCCCACCGACGCCCGCCCGAAAAACTTTCAAGGACATTTTTGTTCCGCCTTCACTTTTTGTCAAATAGAAAACTTTCTGTTGCTGGCCTCTGTCCGGCATGCAATGATGCAGTGAATAGTGACGATTCTCTGCTGTGTTTTCACATCACATTTTAGTATCGCCTCAGCTCACTTGGAACCTCGACGGAGGTGATCCAAAAAAAAGTACCTGGTAGCAGGTACAGGTAAAACCTTTCCACAATGGAAAAACAAAAAAAGTCAAGTCGAGCCGGTACCATGCAGTGGAAAAGGGGCTTTAGCGAAGCTCCATTTCATGTTTTTCGCAGCATAACTGACCGTTGTGTGCTAGTTAAAATTTCATGAAAGTGAGGTCCTTGTGAGGTGGAAGTTAGAAAGCACATATTGATGGATGCAGCTTGTTCACAACCAAAGGAAAGTGGTAGCAAGTTTAACAGAATGATCTTATTTTTTTTCTTTTTCTTTTGGTAGAAAGATAAACATTAAATATTGTTGATCATATCAAACATATCTGTCGGCTAATTCACGCTGCTAATGTCAAGTCTGTCTAATGCTGGACCCAGTTCAGGACTCAGATCAAAGAGCACGATTCTAGGGAATCTAAATCGACGTATGAGCCGGTCGTCATCATCATAAGCCAGGAAACCATCGGCTTTGCCACCATACAGTGTTATGCATGAGTATCATGCAGTATATCTTTACAGCAATCATACTACTGAGTACTTCAGACCTTGCCAAAACGATCCCTTCAGTTACTGGTCTCCCTGGGATATCAATTGAAGATGGAGATTTGAAAGGTGAACACATTATTTTATATCAATTTTATTATGTCTGGCCTGCATTATGATGAGGCTGATGGAATATTTAGCAGATTTGTGTTTGCTTAGATCTTTTGCATTTGAAAGGTGCAATATGGAATGGTTCTGGCTCAACAGGAGAAAAACAGTGCTGGTTTATGTATATGAAGTGAAAATGAAATGTGTGATAGGCATCATAATACCTATTCCTCTCACATCCAATTTTATTTTGATATTAAACACTATCCACATACACGATTGAACTACTGAATTCACGTGCATGTGCTTCAGTGAGAAAAGTCGGATGTTTGGACACTAAGCCCTGCTGTTAATAGTTTTTTGCTGAAATTCCATTGTAGGAACGATAATACGCACATTATCATATTTGCTCATGGATAGTGTTCCAGATATTTTGTCTACCCCTAATCCTGAGAGTAGTGCACAAAAATGGTTGCGATGGTGGCAGGGAGCAAAATTAGCCACCAGCCAAAAGCTGGTAAAATATGCAAATGGTTGGTAATGGCAGGCAAAAAACAATGTTAATGTATTGAGTGGCTGTCACACTTGTACTAGTCATTTGGCTGGTGGACAAAGGTTAATTTTGGTGTGTTTTTAAGGTACTGGTGAGATAAAAGTACAATCCAGGAACTCCAATTGGAGTTAAAGAATAATGTGTTTAAGGCTTATCGTATGTCAAATTACTACCAAGGTTTGGAATGCTCTGACAGGATTTTATGTTTTTCTATGTTTTTTGTGACTTTTTCATGTTGTTCAGCCAAACACAACAATGATCAGGAGGCCTCCAAGAAGAGCTAACTAGTACCAGGGATGGAAATTAACAGCCGCAACCCGCCACATTGGCGGGTAAATATATTAGAATATCGTTTGTATTTGACACTAATTAGCAGCGGACCGGCATTCTTACTGGTTGTGTGTTGCACTTGAATTGGCTGCTTTCATACGGAGATCAGCGCGGAAAGAATATCTGCATTTGTCGCATTCGCTTCTTCATACTGAACAAAAGTTTGCAGCTATATCCCATGTGAAAAGGTCTTTATAAAAATATTATGTGTTTTCACATAGAGGTCCAGCTTTGCAGGAACCTGAGGCGTGCCGCGGCATGTCTGCTGTGGCTTTTCACAAACAGATCGTTCGGTCTCTGTCTTGTCTCTTCAACTTTCCCTGCTCAGAGACGGATAAAATCTGACCATACCTTTCATAAAGTGCAGCAAGCCGGGAGATTGGCGCAATACCCCCGTGAAATAAGGCAGCGTGAAGGCTGATAATTATAAAAGTTGTCGAGTGTTTTTAGGCTTTTAGCTGGCTAGTTGGCGGTCCAGTCAGTCTGACACACTGTCAGATCTTCTAATGGGGAATGATCCAAAGTAGACTGTATAAAAAATGTTGCTCCCACAAAAGCTGTGATGCTGTGGCACAGTGTTGGGCAAGTTACTATTATTACTAGTAATATATTACTAGTTACTTATTACTCCTTAAAGTAATACTGTTTTACTTATTACTGGGTGATAAAAGTAACTAGTTACGTTACTATATTACTTTCCAGTGTTTCCCACAGAATGACATCGTGGGGGTGGGGGGATAAACTTTGTGCAGCGGTGTTCACGAGGGAGAGTGAGAGAGAAAGAGGGAGCGAGAGGAGCTGCTGCACGAATATATGCTCCTCAGTTTAAAAAAAAGAATATTAGAAAATCAAATTGTGGATGGTCAGCATTAATAATTATCCAAATTATAGGCTAATTATGGGAAACACTGCTTTTACTACCACCCCCCCTTCACCGCAAACAAAGCGTCTCTCCTGACTTTTTAACTAATATCATATTCAACAGTAGCAAGGAACATGTACACAATAATGGCAGTAGCTACTTACAGCTGTGGAAAGAACGCTTCTCTCCCTCGTTCTCCATTCTTCCTTTAGTTTTTTGCTGGAGGAGTGGGGTACCGCTGAGCTGCCGCACAGTCGTGGATTCACGTCAAGGATGGTGCGTTCAGTAACGAGTAACGCAGCGTTGTTTGCCTTAGTAACTAGTAATATTACTGTTTTAGAAAAGTAATTAGTTACACTACTAGTTACTGGGAAAAGTAATATTATTACATCTTCCTTTAAGGTGGGATTCACACTGAAAACACAGCCAGACTCGCTGTGTTTTTTCATCCAGGTCTTCTGTTGGTCTGAATGCTGCCTGTGGTTGCGATTTGTTGTCCATACTGGAGCTGAGAGTGTTTGCGTGAGAGTGCTTCCTAGGCCCATATTCATTTATATATAAAGAACTGCATTATCATTAGAAGAAAATGGATTTGTGAGACTGCCCCGTTGAAAGGACCACCTCCTTTTTGCTGTCTACACAGAGTCAGCCCAGGTGGAGAAGCCTACAGCAACCCTTGCCACCCAGTCCCAGTCATCATCCTCAGGCTCAGGGAGCTTGAACCCGTCATCAGGGCCTCCTGGATCATCTGCCTCCACGGTGCCCGTTTCCCCAGTCCTGCAGTCCCCTGCCCCTCCGCTACTCCAGGACCCCACCCTGCTTCGCCAGCTTCTCCCAGCACTTCAGACTGCCCTGCAGCTCAACAATGCCAGTGTGGATATGGCAAAAATCAATGAAGGTAAGAAAAATGCAGATGATACATTCAACTAGTGTCTGCATTAAGCTGGCTGCCATAACTGTGTTTGATTAACACTAGTTACATGGGAATACTTTAAATGACATGTCGTACCGTCAGCACCTTCTGATCAGTGCCGCAGGCTTTCACATTCTATGGTGACTCCTATAGAACTTGACATCCCATAGTACTATAGGTACAACGTAAATTTTTCATTTTACAACAGGGTTGCATAATAAGATGAAGTCTGTAGTTCCCTTTATGCTACTCAAAAAGCAAACATATACACGGTTATAAACGATTTTGCATGGTGCAGTGCTGTGGGCGAGTTTAAGAGTCTCACAGTCTGGGGGAAGAAGCTGCTCTGTAGTCTGGTGGTGCGACAGCAGATACTTCTGTATCTCTTGACAGATGACAGCAGGGTGAACAGGCTGTGGCTGTGTGGGTACTGTCCTTTAGTATCTTTAGGGCTATGTGCAGGCACCTCACCAATATCACTGATGCTCAGTAGATGGTTACCAATGATCTTCTGAGCACTTTTAATCAACCACCGCAGAGCCCTCCTGCAGGGTTCCTGCAGCTCCTTTAAAAAGTCTTAAAAGGTCTTCCCTCTTCAGGGAAATTAAAGTCTTGAATTGTCTTAAATTTGCTGTAAGTATAAAATTTACCGAGTGTGCGTTTAAGGCTGGTGGGAAAATTGTCATGGACAGTAGCTTAAAACGCCTAATTAGTGTGATTTTCTTTTAGTAATTGACTATGCGAGACCCCACCATTAATATAACTCACGTTACGTTAGCTGCAGACGTTGATGTCTGGCTGCATCATCAGTCATGGTTGCAAAATTGGAAGATCCGTTCAGTCTAGCTCAAACAGCTGTAGCCTACATCACATCCTTCTCTCATTTGCGCAGGTCCAAAAAATGATCTGTAACTACAGGTCAAAATAACTTTCTAAAGTAGGCCTATGTCTTTCACCGTGAATACTTGTCCTACATGGATTATCCATGTTTACCTCTCTCTTCATCGGTGCGCCTGTATATTCGGCCGGAAAGTGAAAGTGAAACTTAAGTTCGGTCCGGCATCGAGCCCTAGTTCACGTTCACAAACGGACACGATCAGTTCACCAAAAACCTGAGCATGATCAATAATTGGCACTGTTTGAGCACGTTTATGCACAACACTGACTGGACACACTGTCTAGGCTCTTGTCTGCGCTGTCAGACTTTTGTATTTTATTTGCAGAAGACTGTGACCAGTACATATTTGCCAATGCATTTGCAACCATGCGGTCATGGTGTCCCTGACCACCTCCAGAGGTTGTACTTTCATGTGGTCAAGTGCTACCTGATCACAATCTGTTCACCCAAAATACATTTTAATGCTAGGTGTAAACAGCCTCTGTGTTCCCTGATTTGGAATATGCAAAGTCATTCACCTGTGGTGAAAATGTGAAAATAAAACTGCCAAATATGGCATTGCGTCGTCCATTAAGAGATCAAACGTACATCTCTTTTCTATCAAAGAAATTGTTTCAAAATTTGAGGTCTTAAATTTATATTTGTTGAGGTCTTAAAAAGTCTTAAAGCATTAAATTTGACTTATAAAATGTGCAAGAACCAAGTTTCCTTTAGAAATACAGACGTTGGGGCGTTCTACACCAGCGTGGAGATGTGAGGTGACCATGTCAGGTTCTCTGATTCTGATTGCTGGGAACCTAAAACTGTTGACATGTGCCACCTAAGTTCCACTGGTGATGACAGGAGTGTGTGTCTTTTTTCTAAAATCAACAATCAGCACCTTGGTTTTGCTGACGATGAGCAGTAGGTTGTTCTCTGTACAAAACTCTGCAAGATTATCAATTTCCTCCCGATACGAAGTCTCACCGTTAATTGAAATCCTGTCGACGATGATGGTGGTGTCGTTCGTCAACTTCACAAAAGAGTTCTCTCCATGTCTGGGGATGCAGTGATGGGTGTACAATGTGAACAGGAGGGCGCTGAGTACACAACCCTGGGGGGCTCCAGTGTTGAGCACTAGAGCGGAGGAGGTGTGTCCGCCAATCTGAACTGTCTTGGGTCTGTTTTTGAGGAAGTCCAATATCCAGTTGCAGAGTGTTGTGTTTAAACCCAGAGTGCTGAGTTTGCCATAAATTTCATGGGGGAGATTGTGTGGAATGCTGAGCTGAAATCCACAAACCGCCCTCGTACACCTTGACAAAAACACCTACATCAGAAGGCTGAGTGGAGGGCAGTGGAGATGGCATCCTCTGTGGATCTGTTGGTTCTGAAAGCAAACTGGTGAGAGACCAGAATACTGGCTTATGATGCTGTCTGGACGAAGAATGCTTCATGGCCAGGGTATGCTTGAAAGTAATTATTAGTGCAACCACGTTGGAAAGCAAAAGCGTTAATAAGTGGTCACATTGTACAGTGGGGTGAAGTGTTGGCTGTCCTAGAAGCAATAGTTGTAGATACGGGGATAACGATGTACATTTTCAAGTCTCTCCCAGAACCTGAATATTGTGTTTCCCTTTACATAAATAAAAACATTTCCACCATAAATCTGTACTTAATCAATACCTTAAAATTTGGCACATTCTTGTAAACTTGGCTGCTGGCTGAGACAGACCGACCCTCCCCTGTTTACCACCACTACCTGCAGGCAGCGAATCACATCAGCAGCAGAGGGAGGAGGACAGGAGGAACGACTCGTACTGTCTGATGCATGGGTTGTTAATTTTTTCTAAACTTCATGTTTTGTAGCGATGCACCAACCGATCGGCCAGTTTTCAGTTTCACACATCCAATCCTGCCCGGTCAGATTTACACACATGAACACACATTGGTTATAGGCTATATTTGGCGACCCATTTTAGCACTTTGCAGAGAAACGCAGAGAGAGTGGCGTTATCTGGTATTCCATTAGAAGACGTGGACACGGTAGACTGGCTGTGTTTTTTGGCCGACTTTATAAAACATACTGCTTGTGAAGAAAGGCAACAGAGCGGACACGTACAAGGAGAGCGAAACAGAAAGAGGCAGGGCAAGCTGTTGTGTGTGTGCCGTAAGAGACGGAGGTGTAGGTGTGTGAAAGAAAACGGGTAAGCTATTCTCTCAGAAAAAACATGCAGATATACCCTCATTCCCCACCTCAGTTACAATGTTATTCTGTGGGAAACACTGAGACATGTTAAATGAAGTTTATTTTCAGCTGGGTTTTATTTGTACAGAAAAGCTTTGTCCAGTAGCCTAACCTGGAGCACATTTTTATTTTGAGATGTGTTTGTGTGACAGAAGGTCCTGTAACCTTGTGCATGTTGCACGTTTGGAGAAAATAAAATGTTTTTTGTTTTTTTTCTAGTCAGTGTTTTATTATGAACATACAACAGAATGGACCCAAGAAAGAATACCCAATGCTTATGCTGGTGATAATGGGGATCCTAATAATGAAAGAGTTTTCTGTAAAAAAAAAAAAAGTTCTTTCACTTATAGATCTTGAAGAAAATCAGATTCAGTGAGACTGAGTTCATATTGGCTATGTTCAAAACAGAAGGCATAACTTTCAAGTGAAGGCATCTCTGTTAACATCGATTTCGAACAGCCTTCTAGGGCAGCACTTACGGCAACGCATGACGTCAGCACGCCGTCTTGCGTCTCTTCTGGCTGTCAGAAGAGACTCTAGCCTTGGCATCACCTAACTAGCTATTGAAAAGCCAAATGGCAAACAGACGCCTCTGAAATCATACTGACCAAACTTGGTTGTTTACAGTCACAGGCTAATATGATAGTTCAGTGTTGAGTTCTTGATAGCTTTTCAAAAATCCAAGCGAGCAAACTTCTAATAACTTTTAAAAACATATATTTGTATATGGATTCGGCTTGTTTGTCCGCCATCATGATCAGTTTCCGTAAGCTGCCACAGCCGCGCTGGTTTATTGGTAGCAGGCAGCATCAAATCACCATGGGTGCTGCCTTCAAAACCGGCTGTTACTGGGGAGGTTTGAAGGCATCTTACGAGACAGGAAGAGAATGCTTGAGCCGTTTGGAACAGCACTTGATGCCTCGCTATCCTGTTTAACACCTTCTGATACAGCAGTTTAGCCCGTTTCGAACACAGCCATAGTGAATTTCCTGTTGCTGCTTCAGGACCACAATCTAGTTATATTTCAAATATTCCATTCTCATGCTGTACTAAATGTATTGTTTTTTTTAAATTATATATTTTTAGTCCAGGCAATCACTACATTGAAAACCTGTCAACATCACTGCCATGCTGTGGGAAATTTATTGTGACATAATCATAAACCTGAAAATGTGTAGTCCTTTCCTCAGCCCAAATATCAAAGCATTTTGTCCTTAGTGGAAACGGCCATTTTCAGTTTGTTCAAGCTAAATGTCAATCTTATTGGACAGATGATATAGGACACAGTACTGATTTTGACTGCCATATTCGATGTGATACTGTGCAGGACTTAATATATCAGTGTGTCTGTTTGCCTCTGTAGTTCTCACAGCTGCTGTCACACAAGCTTCATTACAGTCGATGCTTCATAAGATCCTCACTGCTGGACCATCGGCTTTCAATATCACTACTATCCTCTCTCAAGCTGCTCAACTCTCCAACCAAGGTAAATGAAGCCTAAGCTGAAGCATGTCTAGGGTTTCTTGGATGTTTCCTGTCAGTTAAATAGTTCTCATAAAGGCGATTGCATCAGCTAACAGAAAGTCAATTTCCTGACTTGTAATTTTGACAGTTTCAGTCTTCTAAGACTTGACTGCTCATCTATTTCCCCCTGGAGTGGTGTCCTTGCTCGGTATCAAATGTAGTGGGTTGTGTTGATCCATTAGATTGTCTTTCGTTTTGTTTGTATACCTCTCGCAGCTCAGCAATCGAACCAGTCACCCATGTCGTTAACATCAGACGCCTCATCGCCCAGGTCTTATGTTTCTCCAAGGATCAGCACACCACAGACCAACGCTGGTCCTCTTAAACCCCTCCTCAACACACAGCCTGCCATCTCACAGACCAAAGTAAGTCACACAAATTCAGTGTGTTCACAAAACATGCAGTATCCTGTTGGGTGGGGAAGGGAATTATGGGACATTTTCCCTGGGGAAAAAGACTCTCCGTGAAGACTTACTTCTCTTTCTTCAGGCCAGGGGAGTCTGTTTAATTTCTGAAATAAATTATTGTACATGACTCTTTTTCACTAACAGAGCAAAAAGGTGAATGAAAAGTTGAACTCTTTGTTGCATGTTGGTTTATAATCTGTCCAGTTGGGTTATACAAATATCCAGCATCTCAACGAGACACTTAAAATAAAATAATGGCTTCATCCTGACAGGGAAATACCTGATCTGTCATATTTTTGTGATCCATGTTGTTGAGGAATAAGAGGGCTGGACAAAATATACTTTAAATATCTGGGAGCTTCTGTCTTGATTCTATGGAAACGACTTGTTTTGATGTAGTGTTTGTAATGTGTCTCCTTTAGGTGAGCACGCCATCAGTGAAGCAGGCATCTCATCCACAGCCCACATCCCAGCAGCCCCTCTCCAGCGATAAGCAGCACAGTCACGATGTCACCACAGCCTCCCCTCGCACCCTCCAGCGCCAAGGGTAGGTACAACCCCACAACTTGGCCAAGTTCAAAAAGAAAAACTAGCAAGAGAAGTCAAATAATAGGCGGCCTTGGACAATAATTGAGAACAGTTTGCTACATTGTATAAAGTTAATGTGTTCGTTTATAATATTTACGCATTCTTTTGCTCCCTGAGTGCTCAATTATTGTTTGACCGGTACATGCATGTGTATCTGCCAAAACATGGGAGAGTTCCGTCACCTCGGCTCATCAAAATAGCTTTCCCACCAGACAAAAGGTTGATTCCTGACTAGACAATCTTCATTGTGTAGTGTTGTGGCACCATCTGCTGGTCATTGATGGAACAATGAGTGGCTGTGTCATTCAGTTGTCTTTAGAGAGCAGGTCAGCTGATGGCCGATATCAAAACAAAGAAAAGTCCCGTATTCCATGCAGAGTACAATCTAATATACACCGCTATCTTAGCAAGTAATGTGGTGTTTTAGGTCAGAATCAGAAGAGCTTTATTGCCAAGTAGTGTTTAACACATACAAGAAATTTGCTTTGGTGATGAGGTGCTACACGTAGACGAACATGCAGTTGACATAAATAAATTTAGAAATATTTCATCTATTTTAAAAAAGAAGGAACAAACCCCGGTTTGTGTTCAGCAGACGTATTGCAACGGAAGAGAATATTGTGAACATAAATATAGAAATTGACAAAATATAAAAATATTAACAATTAACAACAAATATGTGCAATGTGCCAGGTTTGTGTATGATATCAAATGAAGTAAAGATTTGCAGAGACATTTGTGTTATTTGAAAGGGGGGAGTGTCAGTGAGGCACCCGGGCCTTGTTATTGAGGCTAGCTGCAGACCGGAAGAAGCTGGACCGCAGCCTTTTGCCCGAGGTGAGAATCTGAAACAGTTTGTGTCCGGAATGGCAGAGATCAGCTGCAATCTTTCCTGCTCGCATCAGAGTCCCGGGGGCGTACAGGTGGAATTTTAAGTAATGAATGAAATAGAAAAATACATTGGGTTCTGCTGCAGATTTCACAACGTGACCGGTGTTTAAGGGAGAGTGGGGAACAGTTTGTCAGAAGTGAGATCATTCAACTGCATTATTCTCTACAGTACTGGTGTAACGGATCACAGTTGAGCTGTACAGAACCCACCCGCACCCCCACAGTTCAAGGCGCAGGTGGCAGATTGATTGCAAAGTTTACCATCATAGTGTGAAAAACAGTTTTACTGCCACTGTTACTTTTATAAAGTAATAAATCGTCATGCAGAGTTGATCATGAGATTGTGGTGTTTGTTGAAGCTTCAGTAATATCTGTTGACTTACCTTCAATACGTAGCTGTGCTTGCTACCGGAGTAGCTCCAGTCTCTGTGCTGATAGGCTATAACTCAGCGAGACTACGGAGTGGTGACTGCAGACAGAGAGAGACGAAGTAGCCAAAGTAGTGCATTTTAAAATAAAGTTAAACCTAACTTAATGCTGATCCGATCTGTGACTCAAAACCACGGAATGATCCAAACTGCAAGTGTTGTGATCCGTTGCATCAATAATGGTTTTAGATTAGATTAGCTGTCATTCAGGATGGGAGAAAAATGTTAACATTTAGGAAAGGTGACGGTGACTGAGGATATTTAGGTCTGGAAACTAACTTTTTCACCACCTTCACCAAACTTGCAAGGGGTAGCACTCGCATCTTTCCACAACAGCCACACGGACGAGGCTCTGCACACATTTTTTGTTCATCAGTCTAATGAGTGCAGGTATCAGCCGATGGCCATTTTCTCAAAATGACAGATATTGGCCTGCTTATAGGGCCGACTGATTAATTAATTACTACCTATATGATTTGGTATGATTAAAATTTTCACTGAGGTGGACAATAAAGTCAGTGTAATGGGTTTGTAATGGGCTGTAAGTGCTGTCAGACCGTTTGAGCGCACAACAGTACTATGACTAAACATCCTATGTAGACACTTGAAGAGTGCAACAGCTTGAAACTCAAGATCCCATCTTTGGAAGAAAGGCAGTTGGGTTCTTAACATTATGCTGAGAACAAGTTGATTAGTCTTGTTTGTGAAAGGTCAGCAACTTCTTCATAAATATAATGCCTCAATGCTTATGTCCTTAACCTGTGTTGATTGCAGCAGTCAGAGGAGTCCCTCCCCAGGTCCCAACCATGTCTCTTCCAGCAGCAACAACGCCCCCAACTCTTCCTCTGCTCCTCCCACCGCCTCAGCAGCAGCCCGGCCCTCCTGCTCCTTCACCCCCACCCTCGCTGCCCACTTCAATGAGAATCTTATCAAACACGTGCAGGGTTGGCCTGCAGAACACGCCGAGAAACAGGTTTGTGCCAACACGTCACCATCATTTCTATTGTTTGTGACATGAATGTCATTTTGGCTCAGTCTGGTTATTCATGGCAACACCCTTTTTAAAACAAAGGCGTCAAGACTACGTGAAGAGGCTCACACCATGGGGAGCATCTGTATGTCTGAGAACTGCACTGAGCTGAAAAACCTCCGGTCCTTGGTCAGAGTCTGTGAAATACAAGCAACATTGCGTGAGCAGAGGTGAGAATACATGCCGACAAGTGCAAGCCTCTAAACTTAAAAATGTCAAGTAAATCCAAGAACAAGCACAGATAATGATTGACTCTTTGGCCTTTTTCCACAGGATACTGTTTCTGAGACAGCAAATCAAAGAACTTGAAAAGTTGAAGAATCAGAATTCTTTCATGGTCTGAGAACTTCTGGTTGCAAGTTGAAGCGGGCGTTTGGGGGGGGGAGGGGGAGAAGACCCATTGCACATAGTTGGAAGCTGGAGGGAGAGCAGTTGTTCAATTCCTCTTGAGCCCAGTCTAAACACACACAGGAGCTGCAGTCGGTTTGGCTTTGGACCGTTGGACTGGGAGAACCAAGGGGGAAACATGAAGAGCTGTTGTGGGAAGAGGGGTAGGGTGGTTTACAAGACTCTGTTTTGTAAAAACCCAAGGCGGGAGGGAAAAAATGTAGATTTCTTGTAGATGTTATTATCTATGTTGTAAATATGTTTTGTAGATTGAAGCCATGGAAAGCCATGCCTATCAAAGCTTTTGACATCTAAACTAATCAACGCCTAGGCGGCTACATTCATTAGCTAGCCTTTCCTTCATGTTAACTTGTCTGCAGACTTAAAGCTTCATTTTGTCAGTTCATAGATCATTGAACCAGTGAGCGTGCGTGACCTGCATGTACACAGAGGTGGATGTTTGAAGCCATTTATTTACACATAAACCTAGCATAAAACATAACATACTGGTGTCAGTGTAGTTTTTTTTTCTCCCTTCAAATATTGGTAAACTGAGTACTGTGTCTAGATTCTCTTCCTGTGCCCTCTGTGGGTGAACTGTAACCTCTACTCAGGCGTGGTAAACGTCCCCTCTCTGCAGGTAACTGCTCACAACGGTTCAGTGATCTATTTGCAGCTTTTGGTGGCCCTGCATGTCCCAGTATGAAGAAAAAACAAAACAAAAAAAAAAACAGTGCCTGGTGGAGTGAGTGATTAGAAAAAATTAAGAGATGTGGTGGCGTGCTGCTTTGGACCATTCCCACTACCCTCACCTGGCCTCAGCCCTGCCCTGCCATACCCTCTCCTGAGACATCACCACTTCACACCCTCCTTGTAGTTTTTTTTTTTTTCTTTTCTTTGAGCTGAAAAGTTTTGGTTCCTCTTTTTCCCTCCTCGTCCATTCCTTTGTACAGTAGCTAACAGTGGAGTTTTAAGAAGAGGACGCATAATAAAAAGGTTTTATTTATAAGAGTTGTAGTGACGAGCAGTAAATCACAGTGACACCCACACATTTTTCATTTGGAGCGGTATTACAGCTACAGCGGGTCAGAGGCGGACGGATGTGGATCACCTCTTGTGTCAGCGCAGGGCAACAAGAGGTCACAAGGTCAAATGTGAAATGTATGTATTGTAATAAACATGTTCAACTAAAGCGAGCACTGGTTATTTTGTTGGAGTGTTAGGTTTGATTCATACGCTAGTGCCTTGTTGGAAGTCTCAAGTCTCAGCCTCATTTACCTGCAAACCCCACATACTCGATTTTCCTGTTTGACCATCAAGAAAAGATCTTCAACAAGCGGGTCATGCACAGTTCTGCTAGTACGTCCCACCCCTCTTATTTGTTTGTTTACTGTTGAAGAGCAGGGTCCTAAGCTGCAATGGCCTGTTTTTTTCCCCCACCATACTATCTATTGAGTCTATAACTGAACACCACACATTCAGTAAAGGTGACCACATCATTGCTTTGTATATTGTTTCCTGAAGTATATTGACAAATGAAATAAAATATGCCTCTCCAGGGCCATGTCGTTCTTGGATTTTTGGGGGTCCGTTTAGTTTCAATTTCTTAAGTTTGACTTAAAGAAAAATGTATTGATTGTCTTCAACGGGATTTTATTTAGCATTTTCTTTATGGGAGGAAAAGCCTGACAATAACCCGGAGGGGGCTCAAAGCAAGTCCTGTTCAATGTCTGAGCAGAAATGTTGAGGGTGGGGGGCTGGAGCCAATCCCAGCTGACATCGGGCGACATCGGGGTACCCTGGACAGGTCGCCGGTAGTGATGTGCGGATCGATCCTAAAGTATAAATATTTCTGATACCAACGTTTCCTGCTCCAGGATCGATATCTAATCATTTGGAGTGGGTGTGTGTTTTATTATAAGTATGTTAAGGTCACCAGGATGGTCTAATTATACTTCGTTCATAGGAACTACTTTCCCTTCCGCCTGTCAAAGTCATGCTTGCGCGGAGCTTCTTTGACGTGAGCCGCTGCAGCCCTTTATATTTCCTGTGACTGAATACTGACTCTGGCAGACTGTAAAAACAGTCACATCTGGCTGTATTTTAGCTGTGAAGGTAGTAAAGAGGCTGTGTGTGAGCGAAGACGGTGAAATACTTTGGCAACACCGCAAACTTCGCTAAACATCTGCGATTAAGTCAAAATAATATGATGTTATGAAGCAGCAGTTCTGAGCAGGATATTTTTATTATAATTAAGGAATATGACAGTAGTTTGATGTCTTGTCATTAAGCAGCTATTATTTTGAATTGGTAAGGCTACAGCCTACTCCTTATTTCTCTCATAAATACAGAAACGGGAGGGGGGGTCACATTAAACTAGAAATAAAATATGTAAAAAGTATTGGTATCGGTAATACCAGCCTGGGTATTATTTGGTATTGGATCGGATAGGAATTAAGTGGTATCGCACATCACTAGTCGCCAGTCCATCGCAATCAATGCAACCTGTGTTTTCAGTCATCCTCAAAGCATTCCCAGATAAACAACATTTTTCAGTCCAAGTACACTCACAATGATTATTTTTCCACTTACTGTTTAATCTTACTGTAAAGTCACACTATAGCATACACCATCTGTATTTAAAGTAATGCAGCATAACATGTTAAAATACATTAACTCAAAAATTGACTTCTGAATAAATGACCTCTTTTTCCTCATTGTGTATTTCAGGAGTGTTGCAAACTCTGTTTTGATGAGTGTTAACAGTGTAACAGCATGGTTTGGTAAAGATGATTAAACATTATACTGTAATCATATACAATCTTGTGAAACTAGATAATTAATTATTATGGGATGCATGACCTAATTGGAAACAGATGTTTTATTTTGTGTGTTATGTCTGGTCAAAATGATCCATTATATAGCTTTATTTAGCAGTTTTTGCTAAGTGAGCCAAACTAGTGAAATATCTGTAATCCTTGTCTCTTCATATACCTACAGAGGGCAGTAAATGAACTGTATCTGTGATGTGGGGTCAGGCTGGGAAAACCAGTTGAACGTGCTCATTAATGTCTGTAGACTACAAAACATTTTAAAACACCTGTTTAAAAACTTCAAATTATTAATATTTTACAGCCCCCCCACCTTACATAATTAAGAATAATGTTTTAAAAACTTTAACCTACTACATGATCACACCACTAAAAACGCTTTTAAAAGATTATGTCGTACCACTATTTCCAGACACAAAACAATGAAAATATTGTTTGTATATTTACTGATGAAGAACATGCATTTTTACCATGTTTATACCAGTTTGCACCCCCAGAACTGTGTAATTCACAAGGTTGAAAAGCCATAGAAACTGCATATAAATCTCACCTGGACTTGCAGAATAAGAATAAGGACACACTCTTTTCAGTTGATACTCCACTATATTGTCAGGCACCGAGGGCACAAGGTTGCATCACAGAGGCAGAGCTTGATAAGTAAGTAATCACTGCTGATGATCAAACACAGACTATCTACAAAGTCATCTCTGTGTGTGGGTAAGAGAACAGAGTGATACTGAATTAATTCTCAACACAAAACAAGGAAAAACAAAGGTGGATGCCATCAGTTTCCTGTCTCAGAGCAATGTCTGCATGAGTGCTTCTGAATGCGGAGCCTGTAACCCAATCTGTAACATCAAGGCTGCTGTGAAGTATGTATCTACATAACTGCTCTGCTGCAGAGACTATTTGCTCCATTATCTCGAGGAAAAATAAAGTAGACCATGGAGGATGGAGACAGTCTGCCTGTCTCTGGTTCTTCACAGACCTTGATATGGATCACATCAAAGACAGAAGAGGAAGCCGGGAGGTGTCGGAGGAAGTCTGTCTGCCCCGGCGTGTGTCCTCATGGATCACGGAGAAGGCCAGTTTGAGGTTTAGATCTTCAAAGTGGGAATATTTGTGGAAAAGGTCATTTTAGCCAGTTAGGACTCCTTCGAATGTTTGGTTCAGGGCTGTTACTTGGGTTTAAGATTACATTTAAAATCAAGACATGCTTTGGGGTCATCCACTCTCTCAGTTCGACTTGATCAACAACTCCCCCTCAACACCATCTCTCAGCAGCAACCTAGCCATTGTTGCCCCAGTAGGAAGGCCTTTGTTAAGCAAAGCCCCCCTGCTGCCTGTACCAGGTCACACCTATAAGTGTCTCATAATGTGTGAAAGCAGACGCAACCTGTGGGGTGTAACTGCTCCATAAAAAGGCCATTTACATGAAACCCCCACCCCCTGTGCTGAAAGCTTGTTTATGCTCATCCTCTCAGCATGAAAAGACACACACTTTTGTTTTCTTACTGGTGGCCTTTTTGGACGCCATGCTTCCCTGTCTGGTCATTGGGAGCAGGTACACCTCACCAACCTGTGTCAAGTTCTTTTAAGGTCAGAAGAACAGGGGTTTAAAGGGACATTCCACTGATTGTTTGAATCAAGTTCAGTTTACTTGTCACAAGGAGCACTGCTCAGCCCGTGAATACAGCTGTATAATGTTTTCTGTGTCTTTCTAAAGTCCGAGAAAATAACCCTGATGATGTGGGATGTCATGTGAGGGAATTCTGGCCTGTAGGCTTGGAGTAATGTTTAAAAGCCTGTGTTACAAAACTGAAGGTGTGGAGTTGTGGAGCATTTGCCAGAGGTGTGGACTTGAGTCACATGACTTGGACTCGAGTCAGACTCGAGTCACAAAAATGAAGACTTGCGACTCGACTTTGACTTTAACACTAATGACTCGTGACTTCACTTGGACTTGAGCCCTCTGACTCGAGCTGACTTGACACTCCCTATGCCCAAATATAAATTATGATATAAAAAACTGCGCAGCGCATCAACATAGCGCGGTGCTCAATTAGACTGGAGCTTGTGGCTTCCTCCAGCAAAAGGGAACAATCACCGACCGTCCGAAGCGCACCCGGCCGTTCCGCGATCTGCTGTCCCTGGCGCTGTAGGCCCCAGCGACCCACTCCCTCTCCGGCCCCTACAATGGGTTGTGTAGTAGGCCAACTACCAGCGCGCTGTGAACGGTTCGTGATCGTTCCCTCTGGCTGGAGGAATTTTACGCATAAATCATGCACAACAGCTGGGGGCCTGACGCAGCACCACGCAATTTTCTAAATTCCTCCACCTCACGGAGAAAAGAAAGGTCAGGTCGAAACAGTGTAGAGAGACCGCTGCAGCTTTTGCGTGAAGCTGTTTCCACCAATTATAAAACAAGTTAATTAAGATAAAACCATAATAGCGCCTGGTGCTGTTTCAAAACGACACTCGTTTTGTTTTATAAATCCAGCGCACCTTTTTCCTTTACAGCTGAGGCCCTCCCTAAAAGGTGTGTTCAGTGTTGCTTTACCTGATCGGTACTTGTAAAATATCCACGTTGTCTACATCTTCCAACGTCATAGCGCTTTATAGTTTTCTCACCGCTGGTTTCTGTCACTGCATCTCCCGACAAAACACCACGGTTTTATTTCAGCGTTCTGTACACACACACACACAAACATACACACACACACACACACACACACACACACACACACACAAACATACACAAACAAACATACACACACAGAGCCCCCTCAGTGACCCATCTGTCACCCAAAGCTGAAACTGTGCTGCTAGCTCTTTAATAAGTTAGTTAATAATGTTGGATGATCGTCTCTTATTTCATGGGCTATATGAGATTTTGGAGTAATGCATAATAGCTTTTTAAAGAGAAAGTATTACATTTTAGAAGTTCAATAGTTTAATGTTTCCTAAGGCAATGAGTAATCCTGTTAATCTCAATATTGACCAAAATACTTAGCAGCCCTACATGAACATTTAATTTAATTCATGAAATTATAGAAGATCTGTTTTGTGAAACTTCTCTTCTACCTTCTTTCTTTTCAGGCTAATGATTCATTCAATACACTTTCTTTAACTTAAAAACTTTTGAAATGATTTTTAAATTTGGTGAATTTTGACTTGTTTAGGACTGGAAACTCAAATTTTAAGACTTTGACTTTTTGGTCCTTGACTTGAGACTTGACTGGGACTTGTTAAATGATGACTTGTTCCCCCTCTGGCATTTACCAGGCAATGAAGGAACAAAAGATATTACTGAGTTGCAGGAGGACCTATCCATGAGTCAAGATATCTGCTGATCCTATTT